CCCCAAAACCCCAAAACCCCAAAACCCCGGATAGCCAATAAAATGTAGAAAGATATTATATTAACATTCCAAAAATAGCCAAATATTAATTGCTCGATCTTTAAACCAACTTAATACCTTATCAACTTGAGTCTCCAAAATTATCTTTAAATTTGTTGGCAAGGTTTCTCCTTTAGTCATTCAGCTTCTTGGCTCTCCAGCTCAATTCCTAATTCTGTGTATTTCGGCTCTTCAACAAGAGCGACTCAGAAAATGTAATAGATTAAGGAATACCCAATAAGGATAATTGCTGCTGTAGTGCACACATTTTGAAACCCAATGATTTCGGTTAAATTTGTAGAATAAATTGGACTCAAGGCTTGACCAAGAGATAAACTAAAGTTGAACACCCCTGAAGATAAATCTGAAGCATATGTCTTATAGGTTGGATACCTATCTTCAGCATCTTTGATCATAACTGGCAAGGTTAGGATAAAGCAGAAAAAACTCGTAGCCCCTTCTGCAAACTGACCAAAAGCCATTAGAAATAAGTTGTCTGGCAAAAAGTGACTAGGTCCTATGAAGAATTGAGAAATTCCACATAAGAATATTGTAGTAGTGATGATCATCTTTTGAGTGAACTTACTTGTTAAATAAGGAATAGCTAGACTTGACAATAAATAAGAGAAAGGAGTAATACAAAAAAAATAAAGAATCTCAGTTTGGGAAAGACCCACATCTTGTAGCCGAAGTGATAAAACAGGCTCATAATAACAAAAAGAAGCATAAGATAGCCCTCCACATAATGTTGATAACAAGAAAACTTTTCTCTTTAACAAGCTAGTATATGCTGGCTTATCTTGAAGAATTTTATTATCCTCTGACTTGACCTCAACATCTATCATATCTTATTCCAAATTATCGTTTTTATTTATTGTGTTAGGAATTTGGAAATATAGCAAAGGACACATCAGCACCAATGAGATTCCAAGAAAGTAAAATGTGCCATTGAAACCACAAATTGAATACAGAATTGCTCCAATGGCTGGCCCTATCATGCATCCAAGTCCTTGAGCTCCTTCAAAATATCCAAGGTACTTCTGTTTGTCTTCGTCATAGCAAGCCGAGATGATTGCGTAACATGTTGTCTGGATCATGCTCGATGCAAACCCTTGTAAAAACCTTGAAGCTAGCAACATCAACACGACCAGAGAGGAGTTCTCTAAGTAGGCAATTGATGAGAACACCGACATGCAGACTCCCATGGAACAGATTCCGAGAAGCAGGATGATTTTTCTACCGAAGATGATCATGAGTTTACCGATGACAAGAGAACCAATCATTGCAGCAACAGAGAATATTGCAAATATGTACCCAAAAGTGGATGGCTTGATACCATATCTGCTAAATTCAAGTGGCAGAAAAGGTATGACTACCATATATCAAGTATTAAAAAGAATGGATACCAACATAATACTTGCAAAATCTTTGACCTCCATACTACCCTTATCTGAATCAAAATTATTACTTCTAAACTCTCAAAAATCTTATTCCATTTCGGGGTTTTGGGGTTTTGGGGTTTTGGGGTTTTGGGG